TTTCACTCCTGCAGACGTTGTATGATGTCACGTTACAATATGGCTGCCGGACTGCGGACGTGATATAACGTCCACGGACTTCAAAGCTGTTAGAGCTTAGAAAATTCTTTCTGAACGCGATCCAACTATTCTGACTGTCCTGCCATCTCTTAGGGTGAGAGAGGAATTTTTTTCAATACAATCCCTGCGTTATTTTGCCCTCTGTCAAAAAAATTCTGAGATTATGTTCATCCGCGCTCCCTTTGTTCATTCCCTCCACTTATTCTCAATGATCGAAGGCCTCTATACCTCCTACACCTAAGAAACAAAACCCTAATAGGAGACGTTCGTCTGCACTCATACAACGGTTGCAGAAAGAATTAGAAGAGAAACAAAATACATGTGTTCCAAGTGTGATGTGGTTCTATGTGTGTATCCCTGTTTTGAAAATTATCACGCAAAAGCAAAATTTTGATGACCATTGTCTGTATAAATACCTGTAAAATAGCGTGTATATGTAAACATTTACAAAGCTGTCACAATGTAAATACATAACTTCACAAATCTCAGTTAGAACAGCCCTAAATGTGATTTTGCATTCATATATTTTCTAAATATTTACTGCCTAGATCAATACATAAAATATTCAATTTATAATAACAATAAATTTGCATAATGTTGCAAATGGCCAGTATGGACAGCCCTGAAAATCGTGTGTAATAAATAAAATATTTAGCGACTTCTGAACTTCTGTATTCATCTTTATCACCTTAGGTGGGCTTATAATGCATGATATTATATTATGATGGAGTTTTTATTAGATTTAAAAAAAATAAAATTTCTTAAATTAATTCAGACCAGGGCGCTAGCTACTCTCTTCGTAATTCAGAAGTGAAAAACACTCAAAAGCATTAAAACAAATTGATAGCGTACCTTTGTCATCTTTTAATCGCGAATCGACGCTTTCCAGTTTCTCTTTCAAGGTGCAGGCATCGCGTATCGTGAAAACTGTGCAACTTTTTCTCGCTGCTCCGTGACGAGCTCCATTTTCTGATCTTCGCTAATGACACGTGCGTGTACATTACAAAAAGCGAGTAATTGTGAGGCTCGAACTCACCATCGTGCCGTATAAACGCTTCAAATTCACTTTTCAGACAGATTATTCCTCCTGGACTGGTACTTGTAACGTAATACGACAAATCGTCTTCCAAGACACGACTCAACTATCTTGCAACCAAATTGTCCGTCATTACGGCGAGGAAAACGTCGTAAAAAATAGTTTGAAAGTGAACCGTGGCGATAATCAAGCTAGGGTAAGAAAGAAGAGACCTGAAAGGATATCGTGAGGGATTAAATAAGCGGAAAGCACTGTGTCGGATTTTGCCAAAGTTTATTATTCGAGAAAACCGTATCACTCTTGGGAAAATGGTCCGAATCGCACTCTGGTCGCCACTTTTCCAGCCCTGGTCCACGCGTCGTGGTCCACGAGTCATGGGGGGGTGGTCGTAAAGACATAAACTAGGCCCCCATTGACTCGGGACTATTGTCGTCGCTACGACTGGAAAAATATCTTTCTTCTTTGTCGGTAGGAATACGTCTCTACGGACCCCTGGAAAGTAGCTGAAAAATGTTGAGTCGGATCTGCAAAGATAGGACGTGTAACAATCATTTTTCAAAGCATAACTGACGATCTTGTAACTAAATTGTCTGTCATTAAAGGAAGAAAAACGTCGTGAAGAAAATTGGTCGAAAGTGGATCACGACGATTGTAAAGCAAGTCTAAGGAAGCTTTCAAATCTCTGTAAAATATCTCTCACGGGTATCAGACTAATCGTAAGTTCATCGCAATTTGTTGCATCGGTAATTTTTTAAAACGCGGCTCACGACCTTGCGGTCAAATAGCCTATTATTAAAGGAAGAAAAATGTTGGAAAAAGTTAGTCGAACGTGAGCCACGACGATTGTTAAACGAAGATAAAAATGCGACGAATCTGGGCAAAATTACCGAGAAGCCTTAGGTCAGGTTCATCAAGATTCTTAGTGTATTAGTATTAGTAAGACAGATTTTACGAAGAACGATTCCGAGAAACGATTTAGGCTTTCTATTCACGAAGAATAATCCTGCAGTGGGAAAAAGAAAACGAGATTGCCCAGATTCTATTTGACTTGCATGACCGTAAGATAATCATCGGACTAAATTCAGCCTACAGTTCTGCCTCGCTATTTATTCGCAATTTTTCGTTGCTCGTATCGGGGTTGACACAACTTCGACGTGCATTGTCCTAAATCGACTTCAGATCGTGGATAAAGAAGCAAGAAACATTATTCACCGTGACAGGTAATAATGTATTCTGAATGGAACTTCGTCTTGATTATGAGTCTAAATTAAGAGACTCGTGTTTGCGTGAACGATTAGCGAGTAATAGGACAATTAGTCAGTTAGCAACCGAATGCTAAGAAAAACTTGCTTCTTCGACCTCTTTAATTTTCTACTCGCTAGCTAAATTGATTTAAGACTATTTTTCTTACTTTTGAATAGAAAAGCAATTCTCGCGAGGCATTAATTTCCTTTCTTCTAATGGATCAATTCCATTAGTGACGAAAGAAAATCGTCGAAACGGACATTCGAAGCGTTTCAAAGACACGTAAAAAGCTGGGATTAATTTTGTCGGCTGTGTTAAATACCAATGTTTATATTTCGCTCGCAGCTAAGCGAAGGGTTAATGGTCTATCAGGTGCTGAGACGCGAAATCGCGGAGTCGGGTGGAATACAGGCTAACGTTTAGAACCGGACAATCCACGATCCGTTTGCATGTTCGCCCTATGTAGGTTGAAGCCCTTCAGAGTTCCTAGAGTCGTTTCTGGGACAGTAGTTTTAAAGTTTACTTCGCAATAGTTTTGAAGCACGGAGCTAGAAGACCAGCATTGGTCTCTATAACTTTCGGAAACTCGGCCAAACTTACGCATCGCGCTTTCCATCTAGCCAGACAGTAGACAGGGATGCCACTCCATAAAGCGTAACTTCTGAAAGAAATCGATTCCATCTGGAAATAAACGACGCTACCGAGTAATCGAACGATCGAGAGGATCTCGCGTGGGTTGTATTTTAAACAGTTCGATTCCGGCTATTTTAAACCTGTCGTGATCTTTGCCGAGTGTTGGTTCTTCGTGTTTTCTTTTCTTTTTCTTTTTTTTTTTTTTTTTTTTTTTTTTTTTTTTTTTTTTTTTTTTTCGAATTAGAATATCAAAGTCACGATAAAGGTTTGATGGTGTTTCTTGAAAAAATATCGTCCGCTGTGTCGTTGCGGCATTATTTTTAAACATATGTACGTATGTTACTAGTTACCGTATCGAATAAAGGGCGCCAAGAATAGTACAATGGAGCCGGTACGACGAAGCGATCGTTTTTAAAGGGTACTTAATACAGCTTATTATTTCACCAGGGTTATCTGTTTTTCTTCCATGATCGACTTGTTTAGAGGACGATTGAAGCTAATGGATTATATCGTTCCTCCATTGTTCCTCGCAATCACTCGCTGTTAGTTCTTTCTTTAATCTCGTGCATGAAATTCTTGGTTTAACGACCTGTTTTGTTCACGGATCCGCAGAAATTGAAAATAGACCTTCTTTTTCTCCTTTACGTATCAACATATCGTACTGATTACTTTATCATGATAAATTATAATTATAACAAATTATAAATTTAGTAGTAGTAAATTTAAATAATAGTAACTAATAGTAAATAGTAAATTTGGATTAATACGATGAAAGAACAAGGCTTCGATTTTTATTTGAAATTCTCAGATTTTTCGGAATGGAAGATTTTATATTTCGAATCTTCCTTTCGTTTCAAAGTGTTTGGAAATGAATGGATCGACTATTAAAGCGGTATCCAAAGAAAATATAAATAACGCGGGTAAGGTCGATAAATAAATTGAAAGCACGACGTATCGAATCCAAATTCGCGATTTTTTTATACCGTTTCAACCTCTGACGTGCGACCATGTGCGCGTTACTCATCGACGTTCATCGGCACGAAATAAATGTTTCCGCGATGCATAGTAATCTCGGTGTCGGTGATGCAGAGGAAGAGGACAATTTTTACGATGCTTCGGAAATCACTGACATGCACGGTATCATCGTTCAGTGGAAAGGACAGACAACGGAACGAAAAACGAAACATACACGAGCTCGCGAAATGCTTAGACAGCTATGTAACGTCGGAGAACAATGAAACATCGTCCGGTCGTTGCAAATTTATCTAAGTTACAAAATGACGGCGAATTTCTCGGAATTCGATTTTTCGTGTAAAAATTGGAAGAGGAAAAAGGAGAAGAGATAAATTCGAACAATTTATCTTATACAAAAACCGAGTGTCGAACAAAGCATCGATTATATAATGGAGAAAAACGTATACTTAAATATTGCACGTTTCATTTCAGCAGAAAACGAATAAACTTCGCGTGTCTCAAAGATTTACAACGGACAGAAGAAATTTAAGAATTAATTAAAATTAATGAAGAAATTCAGCAAAATTTGGAACTTGGAATTCCTCTAGCATCTCGAAATTCGCCATGCTCTCGACTCATCGAGGAATTCTCGATTATCAAGGCTACGTCAAAGGAATTTTTCAACATCATCGATAACCTTATCTCTCGTGTATCATCGATCTTATCGTAACGAGAATCGTCTCGAACTCTACGAAACTAAGAAACCACGAAATTTTGCATCAACCGCAAAGGAAACGTCGTTCGTCATCGAGGAAGATCCATCCAGGACGAATCGTGAAACTCGCCTCGATTTTGTACGCGCGTTCTGTTAAAGGTACTCGTGGCACGCCCTGCGTTAAAATCGTATGCGATCCGGCGATCGAATCGCGGATTTTCGGCAAATCGGCCAGAACCTTTCCGAGAGTGCGGAAAAAGGAAGAGGAGAGCATCGAAACGCGGAGTCCACCGAATGGGAACGAGAAAGAGAGGGCGAGAGAAGTAGGGAGAGGGCGTTTAAATACGAGGAGAGACGCGCGTGCTCCTTCAGTCCGGCGCTAACAGCCCAAACCGATTCATATCCGGACCCTGGAGGGAAGCGAAGAAGCTTCGCGAGGACGAATCAGCGATAAATAACAGAAAGCATAAGCAAAGAGGAAGCACCTCGAGACAAAGACGCTTCGACTTCCGGGTCCGCGAGAATCGCGTCGCTTCCACTGAGAGGGACAGAGAGAGAGATAAGAGATAGTGAGGGCAGTTCTTTGCATGGACTAGAGCGGTGTTTGTGGTAATGTGTGAGTGAAAAGTTTCGAGCAAAGAGATCAAGAGGAAGAAGATTCGCGAGAGAGGCTGAAGGGACAGAATGACGAACAGCATGAAGCAGACTGTTATTAAGTGAGTCGCATGAAACTTCCTTAACTATGAATGAGAAAATTGGCGGAATCAAGTCCCGTTGGTTCTCAGAGAAATTTTGTTTAGGACTAATATCGCGATTATGTTTACTCCACGTACCATGATATGCTAGGTAAATAAAAAGATTCGCTTTTGGGATCGTTTGGTCAGACAGGTGCACGAGACTCGTATAACGAAAGTAATTGTCCGATTCGTATCTTTTTTATTTTCTTTCCTTTTCCTTTTATTTTTAGCCTCGTTAGAGTCAGAAACATTGCGCGTTCGCGGAATGCTTGTTTCTATACGGTTGTTTTTCTGTTGTCGTTTTGACGGAGTTACAGTTACATAAGCTCGCTGAAAACTAGTCACGATATTAGAACGGAGAATTATCTCGTTCTACTGGATGAAAACGCGTTATCGTCGATAAGGATATGTATTGGTAATTACGCTGATCGTCAGCTAGGTTGTTATCATTGCAAATGCACACGTTCTTGTTCAGCGACCGTTTCGACGCCTCGCGCGAAGCCCGGGGCCTTCTGATCGGAACTCGAACGACCCGAGTTAGTCCTCGAATAATCTTGGATTGTCGAAAAATCGACTGGAAATATACGCTCGCTCGACGACAGGATTGGTGAAATTAAAAGAGTATAAATGTAAGACCGAGCACGTTTTCCTTGCCTCGAGCGCGAAGCCAGAGCGCTCTGTTTGTTTGGCAGCGAATTTGGCGCCGAGATGGGAACTTATCGTGACGTTCGTTTACCATTCGAGATTACATCGACTTATAAATAACGGCTTCGCGCGGTTTATCGAAAAAGTTGGCGAAACTGTCAGATGCATTATCTCGCGTGGCAAACGCAACAGACCTACATTTTTTCTTCTCTTTCCCCACCAACGCTCGGCGTTCCGAATACTCGTTTATCTCCTTAATCCCGTTAATTTGCCTCCGCAAACGAAATTCCTCTTTATCTCTCGAGGTCCTCGTCATGCCAGGTAAACGTTAACAATCGCGACGAAGGGAGATAACGATCGAGACCCAACGCGCTAACGAGAGGACGCTAACAGGTACGAATAACCGTATAAATCGTTCGCACAATGGTATCTTCCATTTTCGCGCGATTTTTCGCTCGATATCTTCATCGCGGTCTCACGTATCGACCAACCGACTTAATTCGATCCAGCGAGTTACATAAACGAATTATCGTCCTTCCTCTTCGAGAGAAATCCCGTGATTTCAACGCAGGCTGGGATTCTCGGTGATAAAGCACGCCATCCAGGCGTTGATGTTACGCCGTCCTCGTCATTGTAATCGCGACGTTTCCGAAAATCCTTTAAGACATTCGTCCTCCAATTCTTTTTCAAGGTCCGCGAGTTTTGCTCGCAAAATTTTGATGTTACGATCACGTACGTTGTTTTATCGGTTATTTATATTCCTCGAACTTTAGACAATTTGCCAAACAATACGACATGTACTATATACACATTTAGACATATGTATGTTTAATTTAAAATTAAAAATGTCTCGTCTTTCGTTCCTTTATATTTTAGTTCGCGGTATTTTATTTCATTTTCATTTGTCGACTGTAAGTAATCTTGTATGCGACCTTTTCAAGGACGTAAATAGATGCTCGTGTTATTTTGCATTTTCTTTTCCTAACGCACAAAGGCCTGCATATCTTTGGTGAGCATTACGTGAATAATAATCTGGTAAGCATTTAAATAGATAAACAAGGAAATAAATAAATAAAATTGTTGTATCTTTTATCAAATTGTCCACTCGTATCGTTCGATTCTACAGTTGCACCGACTTACATTGTCAAGGAATTCCTCACAGCTAATTCGAGACATCGACGCGGCGCCAACTGCAATTCGCTTCCTAGTCGACGAAACCAATTAGTAGGTCATTACTAACGATCTTATCGCGTTGTGGACAAGTGCTCGTTTGCTTCTAAAGGTCTGATAGCCGAGTAAATTATTCCTATCTCACCTTCTAACGAGACAAAGAGCAAATTAATCGTAAACAAAACAAACGGTTGGCGCGTGGAGAATTCGAGGATCACTAGAGAGGTTTCCATGCCGTACGGTTTCCAAGACCCGTCCATTTTGTCTTGTCGAGGGATATCCACGCGGTCTTCATCCGATCTCCGTATTAACAGCTGGCAAAACGCGAATATGGATCGTCACGCACGACTGCGATCGCCCGGTGTGGTAATCGGTTGCGTCAAAAATTGTTTTGCAGCCGGGTTCGTAAACGCGACATGTATTTCGAGAAGAGGGAACACACGGTGAACGTACGTTGTTACGAAGACACATCGATCGTACCGATCAGGCCTTAAACTCCAGCCACACGGTGAAAGTTCCCCATAGTCCAGTTTCACGATAGAACGTGTTACGTGTACGCGAGTTTGCGTACGTCTGCGCGCTGATCGATCCCTCATCGATCTCTCATCGATCTCTCGTCGATCTCTCGTCGATCTCTCGTCGATCTCTGATTGATCTCTGATCGATCTCGGATCAATTTCTAATCGACGGGATACTTGATTCGATCAACGATCTAACTCGCCATTCTTATTCGATTCGAATAATTCTTGAAAAATTCAAGAGCACGAATTACCGATTACTTTCGGTGAACCATGAAGAATTATTTTGGGAATTTCTTCATTTTGTTTTCCTCTCACGAGATTGTTGAAAACGATACGATCTTCTTAGTATTTTATGGCAGGGAATATGACGTTCAACCGATAAATCTATTCCTGCTAGTTATCTATTAAAGTGATTAGACGTGTGCAAAAACTAGAGTCAATCTCGTTTTAATAAATACATTGATACACGTTGAAATATGTATATGTTGAAAGTTTCTGACAAAATTTTGTCTCCATTACGTGCGCGTCGTTTAACACGAGCTGATGTTATGAATTAAAACATTTTTCCAATTTCCTTCCTATTTAGATATTTTCCGAAAGTAGTATTAATACCTTTAACCGAATATCCTTAAATATTCCACGAGAAACCTCGGAATATTCACCTTGGTCATAAATTTTCAGCTCGATGTTACCTTGAAGTTTGCGGTTCAGTCCAGTCTCGAATTTCTTTTTTAATTTCAAACTCTCGATTCGACGTTTTCAAATATTACACACTCGCTTAACAATTCTGGCTTCCCCGGGGTCTAGGGTCTATGAATAAAACCACTGCCTTGTATCACGGTTCCCATCCTTTTCCTCTCACGTGTAATACTCCAAACAATCAATCACTCGTTAAGTCGAATCTTCGCGGTAAATATTTCGCGCTCTTTCCTTTCGAATTTTAATTCGTTCCACGCTGCTCGTCTTATCGTTTCCTCGACACCACGTTCCCGATGCACTGTCTAGGCTTCTTTCACCAAGTTCCATCGTCAGCTCGGCTTCCAAATCATTTTTGCAAACAATCGCGACAACCTTGTGTCACTTCTCGTCGATTACACAATCGCCAGTCCATCGGTTCTGCGTGCTTGTTTCGCGTTCGACGAGTGATGGACGCGAGAAACCGCGGCCAGCGATCGTTCCTGGTCCTTAGCACAATCAAATTTCCCGCGCTTCAATGGAAGCGCACACACGCCGCGCCGCGCCGCCATTGCGAACCGAACGAGGCGCGAAATCGATTTCTGCGGTTGTAATTTAAACGTTTCTATCGTTTTGTTTCTATTCTTTCTTCTTTCTTTCTTTTCTCTGCACCCGAGGTCTCTTGCTGAATATGGAAATGCAATTTTCCCGTATTTTTGCGTCATGCGCTATTAAGCGCCATTAGCGTTATATAAAAGAACTTTTTTTGAATTTCGCGCGGGTAATATCGTTTCGATTTTTCTCACGGGATTAAAAATTGGGTTGACGGTAATGGAGGATAAAAACGATAGACTTTCCCGTAAACTTTCTACTAAAAATGCAACTTGATAGCACGTATTCGGTAATTAGATGTCTCGTTCGTTTATAAGAAAAAACGGTATTGTTCTCTGTTTAATCGCTCTTCTCGCATGCGATTTTCTCAAGCTGCGAAGTAAAGTATGTAAAGGAGGATTCATAAATGCAAATAGAGAGAAAGCAAGAGGAAAGTGAAGCTTCTTTTTTAAATAATCACCTTATATATTGTATGCAAATGAATGCGTACAATATACTTTCTTCTTCTTGCTGATTTGTCCACGTGGTTAAGGTATCGTTAATAAAGAGAACGAATTAATAATGATCGTTAAATTCGCGAGAACGTTGTTATATCTCGTGGATGCAATATTGGTTGAATTGAATAATTGTAGTCGACATTTTCGCTTTCAAATTTTTGAGATGCGCAATTTGCCACAGAGAAATTGCGATTCTCGCGATGGTCCGTAATTAGAGGTCGTTATTTTATTTAAGAAGTACTTTAGCAAGCCGCGAATTAGGATTAATGTGTTCATAAGCAGTTGGTATATCCACGCGTCTGGCATACTTCAAAATAGGAAGAGAATTGCAAAATACGCGTATTGGCTTTCAGCGATGTATCAAAGGTACGTTAGACTCGTAATTGCCAGCGTTAATGTCGACGTTATCGTCAGCTTTTGTTCAAGGTGGCCATATATCTCGAAGGAAAACAGAGCGGAAATCTATCCCATACACGAGACAAAGATATTATCGCGATCTCGTCAACAAGCAGGAACTAATCACTTTTTTCTAACCCATTCAAAGCAACCTTTCTATGCGAAATACCCATAGAATCGACATTTCGAAACGCAATTAAAGTGTTACACGATACTCGCGCCAAGAACAAAACGGTCGCGTAGATTGCGAAACACAACGATACTATCGCGATCTCGTCAACAGCCACGAATTAGTAACTTTTCTCTATCTCATACAAAGCAACCTTTTAACGCAAACTATTCACAGACTCGACATTTCGCAACATAATTAAGATATTAAGATATTACGAAATACGGAGAATGGATCACGGCGAGAACAAAACGATCTAGATCTTACAATACGCCGAGATTCTCGATAAGTAAA